CCCTCTATTAGTCAATATATCAGCTTGTTCATGTTTTATGTTGCTGCTTTTCCAATATACAGTTGGAAAAGAAATAACTGTGCCTGATGACACTGGGGTGTAAGCCTGTAAAGTTTTAAATGCAATTCTGGTATTTAGCCTTTAAACTTAATGAGATTAAACACAGAATCCATCCATACAATTTACCCTAATGACTGCTTTGTAGTTGTTTTCGGCAGCCAAATCGTGTCACGGTGTCTGCCATGGTCAGGCTGTAGCAGCTACTGTTAGAGGAGAAAACAGGCTGGAAACTGCCTGCTGTGAACTCAGCCGTGGCCAAACTGCCCAGGAGCGGGCTGAGGGGCTGCCAGGCTGCTGAGAAGCCCCCATCGGGACCTCCTCACCTCCACCCTTTGCCCTTCGTGGCCAAAGCTGTGCTTGTTCCCTACATCTGCACTGGGGTGGTCTCAGCACATCCCCTCCAGAGCCCCTCTGCAAGGAAAGCTAGTGTTATGCATGGCTTTTGCCAGTTAAGAATTTGGGTGTTTGCGTTTTTTAACACCAAACTAATGATAAGCTCATCACCTGGAGGGTGGAGAGTGGCACAAACTGCCTTTCTACTGGTGTAACTTCTCTCCTTTCTGTTTAGGACAGTGGTATACTGCCGTGACCACTTTTACTGGTAGGGAAGTAACTGCTGTGTCCGAGGCTGTGGTGAGGGTGAGACTATGGGGTTTGCTTTACCTATATCCAGTTAAAGCAGTAAAATTTATGTGTGCAAATACGCTTCGAGATTTACAAATACTGAGAATCTGTTGCTTTTATTACTCAAGGCAAAAATCCACCATGGGTGGTGGAATCGGGTCAGCTCACAGTGACTTTTTTCCACATAGACAACTTTACCCTGCAAATGCTTTCTTCTCCCCCCTCCTCCTTATCCCACTCAAATGGGACATAGGGACAAACCCTAATAACATAGACCCAAGCTAAGGAAATGCAACTGCAGCAAACTCTTAGCTTGAAAATAAAGCTATGCATAGCCCCTGCCCTGCTATGCTGGGGAATGAAACCCATGGGACGGTCCGTGTGGGTCCGGCACCGACTTCTTCAACATGAGGAAGCAAAGAGCTGCGGGACCAGCGAGCTGGTGGGGCTTAATTTCATCTTGGAACCAAATCTTCACAAGGAATGGGACAGGGATATCTCTTTCTAGACAATTTTCACTGTTAGTGTATTTATACTTTGACAGTGGGTGCTTCTGAAGGGCTTTGGAGGCTTTGGTTACACCAGTGATTTCTATGAGGACTGGCCCAGGAAAATCATCTCAAGGCACCAGGTGATGCTCATACAATAATGCATGTTTCATCTTTGTGTGGATGGTGTCATTTGGGCTCAGTGTGACTTTAGTCTGCTGTAGCTGAATGCTGATAGTTTAAAGCAAGAATAAATCAAGGCCACTCCACCAGTGAAGAAGAAATCTGCAGAGATGTACTGACCTTCTGTTCATTACTTTAGTTTTCTTAAGCAGCTTTATACAGCAAGTATGAGTTTGCAATAATGTATTTAATTTTTATTAAGAAAGACCTTTGCGAGTAACCTGGAAGGATCGAATTAGAGATGGACCTAGTTCACTCTTCTTCCAGGATAAGACTGTGTCCCTGTATGACTTCTTCTACATGAGTGGGCACATCCATCTCTCAATACAATACAATGCATCAAATCCAAACTGAGTAAGAATGTGTTGTCTGTAGATCTACAGTAGGTGTGTGTAAAAATGCATACTAGCATTTTGGAGCACATTCAAATTGATTACTAAGCCACAGTGAAAAATGGTCAACAAAGAGTGAAAGAACAATTTTACTTGGCATTTTATTCACTTAACAGAAACATTCACTTATCAGGTATCACTGAAGTGCAATTTACAGAACTTAGCAGCAAATTCACATATGTAAATTCAGATTTATTTTCTTTTGTTGTCTTTTTTGTTTCTTTTTTTTACAAATATTACAAATGTACATCCATTAGTACAGTATTGCCATCCACTCATGCGTGTTATGTACAGAATCTTCACTAAAGAATTACTACTGAGCAAGTTTTCCTTTGCTTCAGGAAATGCTGCGTTGTGTGTGCTTCTGGGATGTGGTCCCATCACACTCTATCGCTGCGCGTAATGAGGAGAAGTAGACATTTAAGGTCACATTCAACCCTAGTGCAAGCAGGTGCAACTCCATTGCCTTCAGTGAGATCAGCTGATGCCCACTTGCAGTGGGGACTCGGTTTGGTCCCCACTACTAAATTCATTCTGGCAGCTGAATCCAGGATTGCATTTATGTATTTCTTGCAGCAAGGGATAATTCCATCCCACCACACTTTTTTTTTGTCCTCAAAAATAACCAGGCACAGCGTTTTATCACAGTAGCTGCAACACCAGCCTGGGGAGCTATATGCACTAGTTGAGCTGACGTCATGCCAGGGCTGGAGGAGGATGGACGAGGGCAGGGAGATGTAAGGAGGAGCCTTGAGGTCTCTTGTGTGCTAGATAAAGACTAACTTGGAGAGGAAAAGAAGACACTGCTTCCCCCTGTCCTGTGGATCTCCGCATGAGAAACCTTGTCCTCCTCTCTGGTTGCCCTGTGATTTCTCTCCCTCTCTGGGAGCAGCCAGAGCCCCTGGGACCACCACTGCCAGTGCCACCCACAGCTTCTCCCGCACCTCCCGTTGTGCGCCTGACCCCCCGCCCGCCTGCTGCCCCTCTGCGCACCTTTGCTGGCCAGATCACACTGGAGGTCTGCCCCAGTGACAGCTGTGTTAGAGGACGGGAGCATGTGGAGGTACTGGGAAGCTCCAGAAGGTGCCAAAAATATTCTGAATGTTAATCAGAAGAGTTGACAAAGTGGTCAAAGTATTGACAAAGTGGTTACCACAAAATGCTTCCATTATTGAAACATCTCTTTTTTTTTTTTTTTTTTTTTTTAAACTATTTCTACTCTAAGGATTTTTTTTTAAAATATTTTTGGTAGTTAATATGGAATGTATTATTTTGCTGAAAAGGTTTCTGGAAGGGGAGAGCTTTGTTTTATCTAATTTAAAAATTCTAGTTTATCACAATTGTTTTTATACAAGACACTATAGATACATCTTGTAGTTTATAATCTAAAAATAAAATCTCATCAAAATACTGTAGCTATTCTATTGTGGGCATCAATAAACAATGTATTTACTGTATATGGCTCTCCAAACATGATAAACCCTATACAAAGAGCATCTATCTTTATTGATAGGAACAGTTTCCCGTGTAAAGGAAATTACATGGAAAAATATGAGCCTTGTGTTGTTTGAAAAGTAACTCAGCTTGACAGTTCTGAGAAAATACCAAGACAATTATCACAAATCAGTAGCAGCATGTTATATACAGATTTAAAGAGAATCACAGGAATAAAAAGAAAACAGTAGTTATATACCCGCAAATCCTGTCATTTAAAAAACCAAAACCTGAAAGAAATATACAGGGCATTTGAAGGTTGGTTCTGCAGTGGGACTGTCAAAGCTCAGTTCTCCCATGACTGTATCTTCTGCATTCTGATGAAATTTGGGATAGTTCAAAGATGAGATTATATCAGACCCAGCCACGGTTATGAAGAAAATATTTAACTGTTGGGTGCTACTCGCCTCCTAACTGAAAAACCCCACCTGCTTTTCAATCTGCAGGTGAACGTGGATAATAATAATAACAATACTTGGCATTTACACAGAGCTAGAATCTGAAAGCTCTTACATTGAGTAAGACCTTACCCAAGCTTGTGGTTGCATCTGCTCCAATTATGTCAATTGGACTAGGTGGGGAGGTAAAACTCACTGCAAGAGTGACAGAATCTGGCTTACACCGTTGCATATTACCAGAGCACTTTGTTCCTGCCAAGTTCCTTAGATGTGAAGCAGGTAAGTATTATTATCCCCATTTGACAGATGGAGAAACTGAGGCAGGAAAGAACCAAGTATCAAATGTGCTCTCTAGTTTGGGATGTCTTAGTCGTGGCTACCCAACCCAGATGTATGGAGCATCCTGAGCTCACACCCGCTTAATTTAGAGTTGTGGGTCCTCACAAGTTTTGAAATCCGAGGCTCTGGGTCCTGGCTCCAGCCTGCCTGATTTTAGGCAGGCACCTGAAGCTCCAGAGCTGCCTCCATTGTCACACTGGTCTTCGCCGGCAGCCCCGCAGAGCTGTGCACCTCTGCAGGCAGTGCAGGGTTGAATCACCCTCTTGAAGAGCATCTGCATCCCGGCTGGTGTCTAAAGGGCATGTGTGATGAACTGGGCCTGGATAATTAAAATTTGCAGCATGCAAAACTTATGGCCAGATTTGAAGATTTGGTGGGAAGTGGTCTGTCCAAGGCATCAGGGGGAGTAAGTGTAAAAACCAAGCGAATCCTGACACCCGGCTTTGTGCTCAGAGCCAGCAGTTGGAAAACAGAGTTTAAAAATGCTGCATATCTTTGAGGTCCAAATTCTTTCTCACAGATTTAGGCAGCTAACAGGATGTTTTTTGCATAGAGGTTAAACATGGATGATTATGGATGCTCTGAGACCTGCTGTCACGCCGTGTGCCTGGGGTACTTCCATCTTTCCTCACTATTTTCCATTATTCAGTGATGACTCTTGCACTGATTGTGTGAGGGGAAACAAACTCTATTTTGACTCAGTCAGGTGGCCTGCTAACGCCTCAAATCAGTAATAACCAACAGCAATAAACAATGAAAAGCAGAATCTTTGTGGGGGTGGCATTATAATTTGGGCAGGTACATTCTTGGGAAGGGATCAGGAAAAAGCAGTTTTCTAAAGTCGAGTTCAGTGCATCAGACACATTTCTATGTACGTATTTCCAATACAGAATTAAAAGCAAATGTTCCCATGGAGGTTACTATTAAATCTCAAACTGCTTCGATTCTCTCAGCTCACGCATCCTGCCTACCCTTCTCTCCAGCTGATTTGATCCGGTCATGTAGCAAAGGTGTCAAGAGATTTATACAGTTAGTAGGAACTGATCTTGCTCCGGGGGTTTCTTCACCCAGGTGCCCAGACCGGCTTTCTGAAACGCTTTAAACAGCTGCTGCTTGACAGACTGGTACGTCTGAGCCACCAGCTTTGCCTCGCTGTACACTGATGGCATGTCTCCATGGCTTGGTATTCGTGTGCTCAGCTGCAGAACAAAAACCAGAGAAGGAGAAAAAAATAAAATATAATAAAAAAAATCAACCGATGAGCCAAAAGAAACAGGAGGCTTCAGTAGCTGTATAATCTTCCTGTCTACATTTCATAAGCAACAAACAAACTATCACTGTGCTTTGTGTGTTTGCTTTTGCTTTAAAAACAAAAAAAGAGGGAGGCAATAAATGCCTGTGACATGGTTTCGAGCCATTGTGAAATCAGGTGAAGAGCTTTGCCTTGGAGTGGGCATAGGCAGTAGCAAATCTCGGTACGTTTCACAAAGGCAAAAACTTACTTCTCAATTAAGATGATTTTTAGGGAAAAAAAGAGAAAAAGTCCCTTATGGGGATCTTTAAAGAATGTGCTCAGTTTAGCCCATGAAGCGGAGCAGCTCAGTGCTTCCAAGTAATGCTAAGAGACACAAGAAGGAGGGTCCCCTCCCACACTCTCCCCTTTTCCCTCTTTAATGTGTTATCGTAAGAGATGCTGTGAAACCTGCCCAGGACAGGGCAGAAATCAGGCGTCAAGATTCGTGCTGGTGCGGGAAAACGGAGCGCTCTGCCGGGACATCGAAGCCGCCCGCCGGGAGCTGCCTCGGGAGACAGCAACACGTGTCCAATGCCCCTCGTCACCCGGGGCACACACGTGGGAGCAAGCACCCTTCGCTTTGCATAAGGACTAAATAAACAACCTCCTCTGACCTGCCCAAGTCTTACCAGTGCCCAACCAGCAGTGAGGCTTTGACATTATGTGAAAGAAACCTGAAGTCTGGAAAATGCCTTAGAGCAAGCAGACGGGTGAAAGTCCAACACTTACAAGCCAGGGAAATAGTACCCTATAGGAAAAAGCACCCTCAAAACTTGGCCTTGGAGAGCAAGCAACACTGTTTTCTTTCTCTCTAAAAAGGAGAGATGCTGAAAGACAGATTAAAGGAAAAGACGAATGCACAGCCTGAAATGAGCTGCTCTGGTCCGGGTGGCACTGGCACACCGCGGGGTGCAGCAAGGGACGGTGATGCTGCCAGCCCGGGCGTCAATGGGCCACAAGCTGGCCTGGCTGGTGGTGGCTCCCCTCCAGCTGCCCCTTCGTTACCCAGAGGCAGACACCGACGGCATTATCAAACGCTTCGTTTTGTCAAAAGCAAAGTGCCCTGCTCTGTCATGAGTTACTCCCTCCTGCTCACCCCAACCCCATCCCCGGTGCCAGCCAGGTGCAGTCCAGCTCTCCCGGCCATAGTCCTGGCCATAGCCTGTCCCGGCGCCCAACTCATCCCAGGTTTTGTTCCCATGAGGATCCCTCCTTTTTGGGG